GCTTGAAACTTTTTTGCTGATACTGTCAATGTGGTCCTCCCATTTCAACTTATCGTCATTGACCACGCCAAGACTTTGTTGTTTTAACTCTATTAATAGATTCGCCCCAAATTTTAATTGTATGATCCACATTAATCTTACTTAGATTATTTCGAGAGCCAATAATCATATATTCTGTTTTAGAAACGTTAAGTGTTAATTTGTTTGCCACTAACCATTGATAGATATTACTAAGATCGGTGTTTACTTTGTCCTCCAATTCATCTACGGATTCCGCAGATGCGGAGATATTAGTATCATCAGCAAACATCGAAGGTTTTGCCTGATCAAGACAATTTGGCAGGTCATTGACATATAATAAGAATAGAAGGGGTCCTAAATTTGACCCCTGGGGGACACCACATTTAATTTATTTTCTGGATGATTTAACGTTATTTATTTTACATGTTTGATATCTTTTTTCTAAGTATGATATAAACCAATTCAAGGCACCCCCTGTAATTCCATACAGATTTAGCTTTTCAATTAAGATTATATGATCAACAGTAAAAAAAACAAAAACTAAAGAAAAAAGAAACAAAAAAAAAGAAAACTAAAGAAAACAAAAGAAACATTTAGCTATATAGCCATAGGACACCCCACCGAACTGATAGGATGCGCAAGTACTTTATACAATTTAACCTTTCATATATTCACTTTTGATAGATATATATTTTTATTCTTTTATTTTTTTTTATTATTTTTTTTTTATTATTATTTTTTTTATCAGGGGCCCTGATAAAAAAATAATAAAAAAAAAATAAATTCAGGGCTCCACTGAAAATCACTTTCGTGAGTGGACCCCCTGACTAAATATTGTAATTATTATTATTATTATTATTAACAGTGTCAAATGCTTTCAGTAGATCTAGGAACAAGACTCCATTTATAATACCTTATCAATATTTAGGAGCCAATTACTTGTCGCATTTAACAACGACGTTACAGTTGAATGAGAGTGTTATTCTCATTTATATACGAAATTAACTGATTGTAGACAGTTTTTTCTAAACTTTTCGCAATAGTTGACAAAATCGAAATAGGCCTATAATTGCTACAGTCAGATTTGCCACCGTTTTTGTAAATGGGGGAGACAAAAGCGGTTTTAAATTCCTCTGGGAAGATACCTTGTTGCAAGGATCTGTTGAAAATTTTTGTCAATGTAGGACAGATTACTTCAGCAGAATCCTTAACTACTTTAGCATTTATTTTATCTGGACCAACCGCCTTTGATTCTTTCAAACCACATAGCAACTTTAGAGTGTCATTTTCACTAACCTCACTAAAGGAAAAGGTATTGTGTATGGGATGTTGAACATAATCAGAATAGGTTTTTAAGACTCTGGTAAACTTTCCGAAAGCGACGGACCCACACTGACGAAAAAGAGTTAAAAGCTTCAGCAATATATGTTCTTGTCACCTGTAATAGTTTCTTCGTCTATTTTTAGAGTGGATGCATTAGTTGTTTTTGATTCTTTACCTCGAATGAGGTTGACACTTTTCCATAGTTGCTTTGGGTTGTTACTATTGTTGTTTATGGTATGTTGGAAATGCCTTGATTTAGCTTTCTCTACGATTTTGTTGGTTTTGTTTCGAGCAATTTTATAGGCTTCATAGAAATACAGAGATTTAGTGCGGGTTGCTTTATGTTTTAAATAGTCTCGATGATTCATCAGATTCTTAATTTCACTAGTCGGCCATGGAGTGTGTTGACTTCTAACTTTACGCGTTATTAATGGAACATGTTTGTCTGCGGTAGTAGTAAACACATCTCTCCATTTGCCCCACATTTTGTTTGGGTCTAGTTCAGCTTCTATATTAGACGAATTTAGTGTATAGAACAGATCCCTTCTGAATGCAAATTTGTTGTAGTTTTTAAAAGATCTAGTCTCAACAATTTTAGGAGGCGGTCTACTGATTGCGTCTTTGGTACATACATAGATCATGTAGTGGTCACTAATGCCAAGACGAATCACTCCACTGGATTTTACTTTTTGAGGAATGTTTGTAATAAATACGTCAATCAGTGATGACGTGTCAATAGGCCCTTTCAAGGTTTATTCCCATTCTCGTACCCAGAGCCCTTCTTACGCGCGGTCAACGGAGCACGACGAGGGGCTCTGGCCAAATCCATAACCGGATACCATAAAAACATGGTATCCGGTTAAACACTGCGCATGCTCAACGTCAAACGCGGATAAACACTTCGGCTTTCTTGTTTGTTTCGTTTTGAAAGTTTTTCTCCAGGAAAACCCCACAAAAGCGGTAGGTTTCGCTAATTTTATTTATTTAAATCAATTAGTAGGTAAGACGTGATGTTCTCAATGCATGTTGATAAAAATTTAGTATATATTTCCCTCTTAAACGTTGCCAAAGCAGTAATGGCTACGGATACGAAGACGAGAGATTGTCTCACTATTTTATATTCGATTTTAAGTCGCTGTTGTACAGATTTTTAGACTTTTTTGTGTTTTATTAAAAGTCAACAGTTATACATAAGACATACTATACTGCAAATCATTTGAAAATTGTAAAAAATCGGTTTCTAGGAAGAAAATAGTCATCACAATTAACTTCATATTCTGGCTGGCTTTAATATTTTCTCTTCAGATGGCACTTCAGCTTTGAACATGTAACACAGATTTGTTTGATTAACATCACTGATTTGGAAATACGACGAGCATCTGCCATAAATATGCTGACTTTTTGCTATGAGAACATCACGTCTCAACCTATTAATTTCAATCAACTAATTGATTTAAATAAATAAAATTAGCGACATCTACCGCTTTTGTGGGCGATTATCAACAACAATCTTCCTAACTGCTTCGTACTGCTGTTCTTTCAACTTTAATAATGTCTTTTCTCCCAATTTTCAAAGGGAAACCAACGCTTCGTGGAGCGCTTGTGTATTTTTATTCATATTTACTATAATAAACCATATATTTCGTTGTGGCCAATCAGAAGCCAGTTTGATATGGATTTGGCCAGAGCCCCTCGTCGTGCTCGGTCGAACGCGCGTAAGAAGGGCTCTGGGTACGAGAATGGGTCAGTGAACTATATACATGGAAGGCTGACTTCAGTCATTGACGTAATCAAAAAGTGAAGCCAAGATGGCGGAATTTGAAGCCATTCTTGCGCGTCACCCTCAGTCCCCTTACCCGCGCGGCCAAACAATTTTTGTATTTTCATGGCGGGAAGTGATGGGTCCGCGACTCTCGGGTTGTGTTTTTCTTCATTTTAAAAGAGCAAAAAAGGAAATAAACTTTATTTATTTCATGTAAACCTGATTTCCTTCATCTACTCGATCTGTCTACTGCATTTTCCCACTGTATGTGTGAGTAAATCTGTATTTTTCGTTGCGAATTCAACAACTAATTTCAAACTTTTTTGTTTTTTTGATATAAAATCTGTATTTTTATAAATTGGCAATTTATTTTTGCTTTGGTTGTTTCGTTTTCTTGTTTCTATGGTGCTTTTCAGTTTTCACACCATATTTAGCTTATTTCAGTCGGTTTTCCTGACCTAAAACTGCTTTTTAACTGCAGTTTTCGAGGCAGTTTTTAGCCAATTTAATTCCATACATGTTAGAAAATTTTGTTTTTTTATTTTCTATTTAATAAAATCACTTTGATGTTCGCCTTATAAACTTAAACTGTTCATTTTAATGAGTTATTCATGTGTGTGAAACTCTTGTCGATAGGGGCAATAGAGATATTTTGAAAGATTGAGTGACTTTGTGTTTTGTTTTGTCACTCCTTGTCATTTTACAAAACAGCAATCCCGCGCTATTTTGCTTTCTTTCCACTCAAATATCACATCTCCTAAACAAATAATAATTAAAATTTATAACCGAACCCAAACAAAATACCAGAATTCAACTTTTCATTCAAATTTCGTCTGTTTTTCACCAGATTTTACGCGGAAAGTAAAGAAAAATATAAAAGTTTTGTTGACCGCGCACGTAAGGGGACTGAGAATGACGCGCAAGAATGCCTTCAAATTCCGCCATGTTGGCTTCACTTTTTGAGCTCGAGTCATTGAACTATAAATAAACTGGAAGGCTAACTGCTATGATGAAGGCCTATGATTTGATGAAGCCAAAATAGTTTTTCTGAGTTATGAGCAGAAATACTTGACCCCAAACGTCGGGCTATATATCAAATTGAAGCTATTGAAAATTGCTATTCGGTGTTGAAATTTCAAGACTTCGGCGAAAAGAAAAATATTTAAAAAATACAAAAACAACTGCAAAACGGCAAATTATCGGTAATTATGTTTGTAGTTTTTTAATATTTCCCTTTTAGCTAAAGTCTTGAAATTTCTACACCAAATAGTGTTTTTCAATAGCTTCAATTTGATATATAGCCCAACGTTCAGTGTTGAGTATTTCTGCTCATAACTCAGAAAAACTAAAATGCACTGGCTTCAATTCCCCCCCCTGAGTTAGCCTTCCAGTTTATTTATAGTTCAATGGCTCGAGTCAGACTTCCATGTTATATAGTTCAGTGGAATGGGTCTCCTATATCTATGGTTTATTCCGCCATATTGCCGGGGGTGCAAAACATTGGGGCGAGCGCGCGGCCAGTCATGGTTTCCCATACAAATTACTAGTGAGTGAGCGATAATTTTGTATGGACATTTTATTGATTTTCTCATGCTATATTAAAAGAGAGTCCAAATTTTTATATTCTGGCTGATCTGTGTGTATTTTCAAACTACTGGTAAAGATTTCAATGGAATCTGATTGGGGAAAATCCGTGAATATGCTGATTTCTTCGACACCTTTTGGCGAGCTATTTACAGTGGGTTCACGACAACGAAACGCCGAAAACAGGGCTTTTTCGTCTCTGTTTGTTTAAACAAAACAACATTACAAAAGAATCATGTTTAAAAACAATACAACAAAGCCGGCGGGAAAGAAGAAAGACGTCCAGGTGCGAGAGTGTAACCTGATACCAATGTCAATCTCACCTTTAATATCGAATCCAAAGGGTATATATTCAGAGATATTGAGTTTGAGTTGTTTATATCTTATGTTCTCATAGGAGGATTATATTGCAAATGGATTATTTTACGAGGATTTCGTTGGGCTGAGGGTTGACAGAGTGGGAAAAAGGTTGAACTTGTGGCAAGAGCATTTATTAAAGCATATGAATTGGGTGCTTCAAAGAAATTTACAAGGAACAAATTTTTGATAGATTAATTAAGAAGGAATACCAACAATGGCTACAAACTAATGATATTATTAAGTGCGAGGCTAGCACTCTGTGCGATGAATATTGGAAAGATGACATTCAAAAACATGGCCACATCTTGATGATGGAATGCTATACATTCTACGAGTAAAGGCAGTGGATGTTGAATATATTGGCAAATACAAAGATGAGAGGGCCTACTCATATTGGATGAGTGGATTTGTTGATATAATTCATGTCGCTAAATGCCCCATTGACAAGACCATGACATTTTTTGTAAATTCAGTATGTCCATCACAAAGGATGACTCACATATAAAAGTGTGGATGTGTGTCCTTGAACAGCTGGAACAGTTGAGCATGTAATCATGTACTTGCAGTCTTCAATGTATTAAATAAATTATGCTTAAAACATGTCAACAAGCAATATATTTCCCCTGCCTGTGTGCCTGTATCAGTGTTCCCCAAGGATAGAACAAAGAAACTTGAAAAGAAGTAAATCCAAGCATGCAAGGTTAAAAATTTAATATTTAGACCAAAATTCTGGCTGCAATTAAACAGTGAGGGAAGAATTTGACCCCAGAAAACCTGAGGACAGAAATATTACCAATGAAAGAGTTTCTTTATTATTTATTGACTTAGTTTTAATTTTTCTCCCCTATGTACAGTTCCATAGACAATATTTACATATTTTTCCTTATATTAATTTGGGCTAAAGACCTATTAGATACTTTGTTAGGCTTTTTGCTTTAGGCCCCTAGTAAAGGTTTATAGTTAACTGTTAGATTTATAATATTTTATTTTATTTTACAGTCAAATCAGAGAGAGCATTTTCAGAGTAATAGAGGAACAATAATATGCAAATAGAATAATATGCAAATAGAATGTTTTCATCAAAAAATGCTGCTGAATTTGTTTTTTGAAGATGTATTGAGAGTTTATGTCTTTATTTTTTATTCTAGTGAGTTCAATACATCAACTCCATTATTAGAGAGAATACGTTTTACATAATTTGTTCTTTTATACCACTTGTGAAGTTTTGATGAGTTTCTTGAGCTATATTGATGAATTTATCACAAACACAAACATTTATCAAATACTTCAGGCAGGTTTTTAAGATTATTGAACTGCATCGTAGATACTGTTCCTTCTACTTGTGTTTTGCTCTCAGTTGGCTATGGGGGTAGTACTGCCAATGAGAACAACTGAAACTCTCAATATCTCTCAAAATTATATACCCTTTGGATTCGCCTACTTTTAGAATTTATCTCTTATATCTAATAATTACTAATAGTATGTCATATAATCAAAGGTTCTTTCCCGACGGCTTTGTTGTATTGTTTTTAAACATGATTCTTTTGTAATGTTGTTTTGTTTAAACAAACACAGACGTAAAAGCCCTGTTTTCGGCGTTTCGTTGTCGTGAATCCACTGTAAACAGCTCGCCGAAAGGTGTCGAAGAAATCAGCATATTCACGGATTTCCCCCAATCAGATTCCATTGAAATCTTTACCAGTAGTTTCAAAATACGCACAGATCAGCCAGAATACAAGAATTTGGACTCTCTTTTAATATAGCATGAGAAAATCAATAAAATGTCCATACAAAATTATCGCTCACTCACTAGTAATTTGTATGGGAAACCATGACTGGCCGCGCGCTCGCCCCAATGTTTTCCACCCCCGGCAATATGGCAGAATCAACCTTGAAAGGGCCTATTGTGACTCGGTTAATTGGCTCTGTTATAATTTGCTGTAGCTGATAGATGTCCATGATATCTATGAGTCGTTTACTATGGACATTTTTTTCAGCCTCTAGTAAATTACAATTTAAGTCGCCCACTATATGATATTCTTTGTCTTCCGCCTCAAGATTACGAATCATTACTTCAAATTTGTCGAAAATCGTAGCCGGACTATTTGGTGGTCTATACCAACTAATAACGAAAAATGGCTTGCTTTTTGTTCTTTTAATTTCCAAGCATATTGCTTCTAGACCATCTGCATATTGCTTCTAGACAATCTATGATTCAATGATTCAATATAGGATTCAATGATTCAATCTCATGATTCGATGTTCAATCTAGGATTCAATTATTCAATCTAGGATTCAATGATTAAATCTCAGATTCAATGATTCAATCTAGAATTCAATGATTCAATCTTATGATTCAATGTTTCAATCTTATGATTCAATGATTCAATCTGCGAGCTCGATCTCGGTTGAATCATTGAATCATAAGATTAAATCACTGAATCATAAGATTGAATATAATCATTGAATCCTAGATTGAATCATTGAATCATGAGATTGAATCATTGAATCCTAGATTGAATCATCGAATCCTAGATTGAATCATTGAATCATGAGATTGAATAATTGAATCCTAGATTGAATCATTGAATCATGAGATTGAATCATTGAATTATAAGATTGAGTCATTGAATCATAAGATTGAATCATTGAATCATAGATTGAATCATTGAATCATAGATTGAATCATTGAATCATAGATTGAATATTCAATTTTTACATAGGACGAAAGAACAGTTATTTAGCTTTTCAATGATAGTCTTTTTAAATCGTAACGATGAAAAATGGCCACATACACTGTACATGTCAAATAAAAATTGCCGGTCGAAATCACATTTTTCCACCGTTGGTAATTGGCTAATTGCATGGAAAGCGAAACAGTCATAGACAATTCCCAAGAGAGAATTAAAATTGAATGTTAAATTATCTAAAATGAGTTCGACTCGTCAATCTTCGTCTTAGTGAGACCATAAGAACGTCAATTATTGCATTAAACATGGTTCAATTAACCCGTGAACAGAGAACATTCGTAATCAAAAGTAACAAATAGCTTAATTGCAGCAGACTCGCGTTGCTTTTGGATTGATTTACTTTGCATAATTATGTATTTTCAATTTCCAACCGTGGAAGACCGGCAATTTTTATTTGACGAGAATGTGGCCATTTCTCATCGTTACGATTTAAGAAAGCTATAGAAAAGCTAAATAACAGCTCTCGTCCTACGTAAAAAATGAATTGTTTAGCTAAGTTTATTATGCACGACAGCCTGTTGAATTTCCATAGCGTTTTTTTAGACACCCTGTATATTAAGCTTTAAATTTTTTGTTTCGAAATATCTTACTATTTCGTATACTCCACATAAAAACATTACCTCTCGGTTACTAAGGCAATTTACTTTACTATGGGAATGATTTTACAACTAATAAGTGATATGACAATAATAATTTACATTTATAGTGCGCAATGTTTCATTTAGAAATACTAGAAATACATGCATGCAGCAACCCCTCGCCTATATTTTCCAAACATCGAATTAGGAGTATTTGGAAAAGGCCAATCACTAAAAATACCTGGAATGCTACTCCAATAGGATTGGCTTATGATCGGATGAAGCCAAATTTTACCTCCAACCGCGCGTGTTCTACCTCCAGACACGCGCGTTTGTGTTGCGAGACATTCTCGCGAGACCAGACAATGCGTGATATGAGCTAGCAAGGGGTATAAGGACTGCCAAGAATTCCTGGTTGATAATCCACCTAACATAATCTCGTTAATTCAACCATTATAGCCTGGTTGACTGTAGTTAATAGGCAGTTGCAGCTATAGATTAAATTTTGATCTAGACAAGAAGAACAAAATCCGTCACCACAGCTAGAAAGAGCATGTTAAAATTAGTAAAATTGCAAAGTTTGGTTGCGAAATGTTGTAAAATGAGGACAATTTGGCCTGTGAAGTTCGCAAAATTTTCCCCGAGCCGACGGCGCGAAGCGCCGTGCGAGGGTACTAATCCCCCCCGGCTATTTACACCCGGGGAAACGAAAGCATTAGCGAAGTCTAAAGTTCATCAAATATCGCGGGCGTGGGTCACTGTGCGTGGGTGGTCATCCCCACTGATCTCAAATATATGGCGGACTGTTATGAATAGCGGACACTGATTGGTCCAATTTAAAGTTTGCATTATAACCACAGAATAGGAAGTTATACCAGAAGCGTAACTCAAGCAAATATTTGTCCGCATTTTTACAAGCGATTCGTCATCAATCACGCCATCCTGGCTAGTACAACCGGCACTTTGTACCTACCAAATCCTGATAAAAACTTCCGGCTGTACTAGCCAGGATGGCGTGGCCTGACGTGAGCGAGTTAAAATTTTCGTGGACGTCAAACAATAAGGGAAACGACTAGAGTTACGCTTCTGGTATAACTTCCTATTCTGTGTTATAACTAACGACTGCATGACGACAGCGAAACAGCAAACATTTCTTGATTTGATGATTGATAAATTTCTTGCAAAAATATCTTATTTTTGCTCGCATTTTTGGAAGATTTTGTAAATTTCAAGAAAGAAAAGACTAAAGAATGGGCTAAAAGAAGGGAGCCGACGTTAACAAAGGTAAGTTTGTTTTAAATATTTATTTTATAATTGTTTTAAAACCCGACGGGCGACGGCCTTTGATAATGATAAAGTACATTTCTTGCAAGTTGTATTTTAGCAAGATTTTGTAAATTTCAAAACCTTTCTGGGAGCCAAAAACCGCGGTCTAAAAACGTCTAAAAGAATAGAGCAAAGTCGCCGACGTTAACGAAGGTAAGTCTGTTTTAAATATTGATGTATTGTTTGTCTTAATATAATTGATATATTTATAACTGATGTCGTGGGCGATACGGCGAATATCGAACTAAACCTATCATTGCGTATATAAGTGGAAAAAGACAGCATATAATTTCGGTGTAGTTTTATTAATTACCTTTTCTTTTGTATATTAAAGTATTTAAATAAAGAGGAAAGCAAAGTTATTTTCATGCGAGAATTTGAAAGGGCCATTCCATTTAATATCTACACCCCCCTGTCGACGACGTCTTCGGAGGGGTCCTGAAAATTTGTATTTCTTAGGGGTTCTAAAAATGGTAATTTCCGAAGGGAACAAAAAAATCGCATTTTCTTGAGGGTTTTCGCTAATCAGCGAAATTTCCGAGCCCTTCAGCAAATAGGCGAAAAGCTGGACGGGCTGTCGACGACATTTTCCGAATGGTCACGAAAATTAGGGCTGTCGACGACATTTTCCGAAGGGTCACAAAATCATTCAAAAACAATTCCGAAGGGTGGAAAAATTGGTGACGTCGTCGACAGGGGTATTTCAGAGGGGTCACTTAGTTTCCTTAAGAATATAGAAGAAAACATCAAATTTCTGAAGGGCTTTCAAAATTCTGACGAATTTCCGAGGGGACTTATAAAAACATGCTTCTTAGGGGTGTGAAATTGGAAGACGTCGTCGACAGGGGGGTGTAGATATTAAATGGAATGGCCCAAATCAGCTTATTTCAAACTCAATGTTTACCGATAATTCGATAAAAGGCCATTTAGTTTTGAGAACATTTTAAAACGTTTTGCGAAGCGTTTGTGGTTGAATTTTACATTAAATTGATGCTTATATTACGTATAATAACATACCTGGCATACATATGTTTGGGAAATTGATCATTATATTAACTATGAAGTATGTTAAGGCGTTAAGCTTTTTTGGCAGACTCTGCGTTGTGGCGCACCATTTTATACTACGTTTCTAACTCTTTGCCCAGGATAAAAATTTGATATTTTCATCTTGTTATGAGAATTGCATATTAAGTTAATATCATAACACTGGGCATTCCTACATCTCTGGCACATTGCCAATTCGATCTACATTAACCACTACGTCCTCACTCCTGATTGCGCAAGCCAAAGTAATTGCGGTTAATTCATGGAAAAGTAATATTCAAGGTGTATAAAAGAAGATCCAGGGTCTTAGTGGTCCGGCAAATGACACCATTTTTCTTCACTGCGATTAAGTATAAGCTATTTATAACTGTGGTATATCGTTCGAATTTAGAGTGGCGAAATCGCATTAATTTCGGATTCAAATTTCAGAATTTAAAACAATGATGGCGTAAGGTGTGAGTTGATCAATCAATTCGTGATTTGACAAAGGAATTTAATGATTGAAACATTTTAAAAAACTGGACGTTTATACTGACTGAACTCGCGATATGTCATAGACAACCATCATTTGTTCAAATGTTCCAAAATTGGAAGAACACTTGATACCAAAAGGTGGGAAATGCGTTTTCGACCCACTATTCTAAATCGCATCGTGTTTGGCCATTCTTCAATTCATGACCACAATGATACTTCATTCCTTCGGTAAGGCACGATATATGCATACAGTTATTGAATGCTCATATTCAGAGCGAGGATCACACTCCTCTAAACTTGTAATCACACAGAAACACTACCTACAAATTAATGTGATTGTCTATTGCATAAAATGCCCATATATTTCAGTGGTAATGCTAGCCATAGCAACAGGTCGACATGCTATGCAAATTTTTAATGATTTGCATTATTCAAACCCGTTAGAAATGTACGTATTATTTTTAACCCCCTTAGACGCAGGTTTATTAGCGTTATTTGCATTATTCAAACTTTAGAAATGTATTGTCTATAACCTCTTAATATATGCAGGTTTATTAGCATAACATGACCAGTTGCCATGGCTAGCATTCCCACGTGCACTGGCCCATACCATAGTAAATCTGAAGTGTTTCATTCTGAGCATAGTCATTAAGAGGTCTTAATTAATCATAAGCCAGTTAAATAAAGGTTTTAATTGAAGCCATTTTTAATAATAATATATAAAGAATATGTTTGTGAAACTGATACATTCAAAAATCCTAATAACTTACCCTGGTTGGTCAATTTAGCACGCGCATAGCAACGTGGTTACTAGCGTACGCTTATTAGCTGGTATTGTGGTTTTAGAGTAATCATCGAAAGCTCGACACAGGTTGTACTAAAACTGCATTACTTTTGTTTGCACTGTAACCAAACTAACAACAAAGCAGGCTTTTTGATTATGAACTAGTAACATCCCAACAGCATGTTGGTATGCAGCATGCGCTGCAAACCATAGCATGCAGATATTCGCAAGTTGAGGTGGGAGAGTTTTGCGCAGAACGGTCTTGCGCAGAAATGAAGTGAGTTGTTTTTTACCTTGGCGTGATTATACTGTTAATAACAGAATACTAATATATAATTGCTTGAATTTATAGTACATAATTTGAAGCACATTGTCTGGAGTATCGCAGCCTTTTCCCTAACCCGCTGAAACCATGCACGCTCCATGATCCGAAAACACAATTCTATAACTCACCTTTCACTCTTCAAGCTCGCGTACAAAAGTAACAATCAGGAACAGAATATCTCCTCCGACCAACTCAGAAAGCCGTTGCCTGTTGTGTTTGCCTTCAAAGTTTATAGCGTAGTGACCTTTGTCACTAAAGACTCGTTTTGATAATAAATGGAATCTGCCAACAGTTACTCTAATCCTGTTGCTAACCAATGAAGGACAATTCCGTTTTGTGCTTCCTCTCCATCATTGGTCAGCTAACGCTTTTAAAAACGGCTACTACTAAAAAGCGATACAGCGATACAACGATACAGCGATACAGGAACCGGAACCTGGAACCGGAACCTGGAACCGAGCATAATTTATGCAAATTAGAGCATCTTGCACCACAGGAGATATACATGATAATAATTTACAGGGGGG